CTACCAGGGCTCCTAATATAATTATCTTATGTATTGTAAATTCTCATCTCTACTGTGTTAATCATTAACATGCAGGATTAGAGGCAATTATGTTAATGAGGTTGTATCTTGAGTCAACCTCTTTATTTTTTTTCTTAGTTTTTATTGTAAATTAAGTGATAGTTTACATGGGAGAACATCAGTTTTATACCATCATTTGAATGATTACAAGTTCCTCCATGCATCATCATTCAACTGAGTCCCTCTCTTTTGAGATGCAAAAGGGATTATGCAGGAGAGATCAGCGGGACCTACAATCACCAAGAAAGAAGAGCCAGGAACAAAGTGTGGCCTTTGTACCCAGAGTCTCAGCACTGGGAACCTTCTAGATTCAAGGGAAGACTGATGCCAAGACACCTGGAAATCTCCAAGAAATGCTAGACTCACAGATTTTGAAGGAGACAAGGGCCTTCCCCCAGTATCAACAGAGAAGAGAAAGCTAGACTTGCCCTCAAGCTAGCTCTATGAGTTTGGACTTCTACCACCTAAGCTGTGACAGAATGCATGTGATTGTTAAAGCATCCAGTTATGGTATATATGTTCTAGCAGCACAAGATCACTAAGACACCACTCCAACCCTTAGTTCCCAGATGGTCCACTTATGGTTTTTAACATAAAAGCCCTCTATAGTAATCATTCTTTGATGGTTACCAAGGGTGGGATGAAGGAGAGAGTAATTCACAAGCTAGAGGGCAGACATGTTAGCTTGGGTGATGGTGGTTGGTGGTTATGTGTCATGGAGTCGGTTCCAACTCATAGCGACCCTATACAAGATTTCTGAGGCTGTAAATCTTTACCAGAACAGGAAGCCTCATCTTTCTCCCATGGAACAGGAGTCGTGGTGTGACCCTATGGACTAATGCACCAGACTAGAAAGTCATTTGAACTGCAAGGTTGGTGGTTCAAGCTCACCAGCTGTTCCTTGGAAACCCTAAACAGGGTCGCTATGGGTCAGAATTAACTCTACGGCCCTTAACAACAATAACAACAACATAGTGATCAAACCAATCCTGATAAGAAGCAGAACGGGCTCATTAATACTCACCTTTTAGCTATTTCTTTTAATAAAAACATCTTCTTTCCTATTTACCTTAGTAAAGAAATTAGGCTCAGATTCTGAGAATTCACTTTTCACATTATCCTAAGTCAGTTTCCCCCAAAATATTGCCTTTTCTCTCTCTTCAACTGAACTTCTGTAGACTATTCTTAGTTACTGATAAAACAGCTTCTCAAATATAAAAACTAAACTTAAACTATCCCTTAAACTTAGCGTGGTATAGGATATGCCATTAAATATCTAGATACTAAGTGCCCACCAGGATTGTTTAAGTGTCATTAGCCCGAAATTCCACTACATTTTGGAGCCTCCAGTTATTTCTTCTTGGATCCCTGGACTATTTTTGGGGGAGAGTTTTATACTCCTTGAATTGGTGTTGTTGTTGTTAAGTGCCTTCGAGTCGGAGCCGACCCATAGCGACCCTGTACAGGGTTTCCGAGGGTGTAAATCCTTACGGGAGTAGAAAGCCTCATCTTTCTTCCGCGGAGCGGCTGGTAGTTTCGAACCACTGACCTTATGGTTCGCAGCCCGATTCGTAACCACTACGCTACCAGAGCTCCTTGAATATTGTGGTCTTATTGTCTGAGTCTTTCTGTAACTACATCAGCCTTCCCTAAGGTCTGTCCCCTTCTAAAAGACACAACTTGGGCTAGTGATAAAGAGCCTTACTGAAAGAATTCTGAAATATGAAAGACTGATTTCCTCCAAACCAATCCATTAGGTCAGACTGTCTACTTTTACTTCCATTTTTGTCTCCATTCTTACTGAAGTTTCTATATAATGACCCATTCTGGGATTTTTAACAGAGGATTCCAGATAGAGTGGGAGAAAAATAATAGACTAAAAAAAGAGACCAGACTTACTCAAGGCCAAGTTCTGAAGGGTTCAAAAAGAAGGAGGAATGGAAACTGAAAACACAGGAGGAAGTGGGATAAGTGATGCTACATGGTGGGGATTGCAGTCAGTGATATGAAACAAAGTTTATGTAAATTGTTGAATGGAAAACTGATCTGCTCTGTAAACCTTCACCCAAGTCACAATAAAAAGTTAAAAAAGAAAAACAGACCAGAGTTACTGATCTGACAGAGACTGAAGAAACTCCCAAGACTACAGCCTTAAAATATTCTTCTTACCTGGAACAGACAAATATCATCCCCAGAGACAACCTTCCAGACAAGCAATCGACAGTCCATAAAATAAACAATAACACCCTAGAGGAATGTTTTCCTTAAAATAATTAATTATACAACATCAAAAGGACAGCAGGTGCCCAAAAGCAAAGATGAGAAGGGAAGACAAGGTAAATACTCAGACAGAAGGACACAGCACATCCAGGGTGGAAATGAGGAGAGGACCAACACATTATGGGAAATGCAGCCAGTGTACAAATGATGGAATGGGAAGCTAATGTGCTCTGCAAATTTTCACCTAAAGCACAATGTTTTTAAAAATTCTAAATAAAAATTTTTAAAAAGAGTGACCCATTCTGTCCCATTTCATATTAATGGACCAATATGCAATCTAAAATATCTAGCTTCTTAAATTTTTTTGCTATTATATGTCACACCATTTCTAGTAGTGTCTGTCACAGTCTTCTGGAACTCGCTGTCTGATAAAGTAATTCCTACTGAAGGTAAAATGGACGAAAGTTCTTCTGCAGCAATGTAATTTTCTTTGAGTTTATGGACAGCTTCACAGATACTTTCTAAACCTGCAAAATGTGGAGGATTAGCAAGCAACAGAATTTGTGTGTCTAACAACAATAATTAATACCTAAAATCTTTAACAATCAAAGAACAAGTTTTAACTAGTAAATATTACTTAATATGAAAGGACTACTTTTCTCTCCACATTTGTTATGTTTTATATTTTCACCATTCTCCTACGACTCAAGCCCCAAACTCCTTTCTAGTGATGTCTAAGACATCAAAACACCAATGTGTTTGTTTAAATTTCAGGATTCCAAACAAAATTTTTAGAGATTTCTTCCCTTTTCCTTTAGATTGCCATGCTTTCGGTATATAATCTTCAAAAACTTAAAACCCTGGGATCAGATACACATGAATATGATAAGCCTGCTGCTATGATGTACTGAGAAACCAGAATATCCCCCCTTCAATGGTAATTTGACAAAAAAGGTATAACTTGAATCTATTCATTAAGAAATATTAGGAAAACAAAAAATCATGGCTGCTATACAAAATACACTGCCAATCTTCTTCAAAAGTGTCATGGTTCTTGAAAAACTAAGGTACCATCCAGACTGAAGGAAATTAAGGATACATGAAAACTAAACGTGATGCATGATCTCAGACTGGATCCTGGACTAGGAAAGGACATTTTGCAACACTAGACAAAATTTGAATAAAGTCTATAGATTAGTCAATAGTGTTGTATTAATATTAATTTCTTAGTTTTAACCATTGTATTATGGCAATATAAGATTTTAACAGTTTGGAAATTAGATGAAAACTAAGGGAATATTCTTAGCAATTTTTTAACACTTTTATAAGTATAAAAGTGTTTTTAAATTTTAATTAAGACAATTTTTAAAATTCTGGAACCAGGCACACTTCACATCTACCCAATTACCATCAAATTGTTTGGAGAAGTTACACCAGATGAGGCATTTCACATTTCTGTCTCCAGAATAGTAATATTGAATTGAGCCCTCCAAAAATATGTGGCAACTTGACTGGGAGTGGTAAGTAACTTCAGTATGGAAGTGGTAACTAACTTCAGCAAAGGATTATAGGAAGGAGGGTTTAATTAGGTTCCATACACAGCACCTCTATAATTGAAGCAGCACAGAAAAGGGGGCAAAGGGTGTCACACATATTAATTGGGAAACTATTGCTCATCTTTGAGAAAGACCGTAACTACTGGAAGCTTAGGATGTGTAGTGTTAATTACTTTACCTTGATTTTCCCATGGCCATAAAAGACAATATCTTTAAAAATACTACGTTGTTGTTGCTAAGTGCTGTGAGTCACTTCCAACTTGTAGTGACTCATAGCGTTTCCAAGGAGCAGCTGGTGGGTTTGAACTGCTGACCTTGTGGTTTGCAGTCCAGTGCTGACCCTACAGCACCACACCAGGAGTCCTTAATTACTGTGGCTATCATATATTTAAATTATGGAACTCTAAGCAAAAATTTCATATGGACATCTTACATACTTGGTTCAATAAACTATAAAATAAGCAGATTTCCAAAGGGAAAAAGACCCTCAATTTTTTATTTATTTATTTTTTTTTAGGGAACACCCATAACTACAATCAATCACTCAATAATTTTCTCAAAGTTGAACTCCCCACCCCAAACTATGGAAAGTTGGGTCATGTGGAAAGAAACTAACATTAAAATCACAGTACTGTGTCCATTGGCTTATGTACCATGGGTGGTGGTTACCTAAACTGCTGACAGTTGAAATCCTTAAAACTACCTAATAAGTGATTTATTCTACTCATTTCTGTAATCATTTAAGAACTAAATAATGTAGATACTGACTTACACATATGATACTCACCAAGAGTATCAACTGCAGTTTTTTCCTTAGATGAAATCTGTTTTAGCAGGCTGGAACGCCTTCTTACAGCTGGCTTCTTCAATTTTGGAATGCTAGAAATATCACTTTTATCTAGAGACATTTTGAAGCTTGAAATACTCTTCAGACTTTGGGGTTTCAACTTTAAGTCATGAACTTCTGCCTTGTCTGAATGTTTTTTGAGAGTTATGCCATCCTTGGAGCTTGGTTCCTGGTACCCTACATCGCTACTATCAACTCCATCCAGGACTTTTTTTTTTTGCCAAGTAATTTTTTGACTCTTAAATTCAATGATATCATTATTCTCCATAATCCTGTTATGTTGAAGACTTTTTCTAGCTAACTTTTGAGTGGCTGGCATTTCAGACAATCTGGAATATAAATTGACTGTCTTCTTAAATTGTAGAGAGTGGTGAGGTAGCTTTGATAACTTTTGATCTGAAGAAATTTTACCCAGGTCTGGTTCTTCTATACTGGCTAAATAAGGGAAACAAATTCAATTCTTTTATTTACCTTGAAATGTTTTTCCAAAAAAGAAAAAAAAAAACAAACAGTCCTCATAAAAGTTATTCAAGAAATTATCAGCTACTTACATACTTACATACATAAAACTAAAAAAAATTACAGAGCTGATGACCACAAGATTGAGTTACTAACAAGGTTAAATATAGTCTGCTGGTTTAATATACTTCAGTAGTCTCACTTTAACACTTCTAATTTGGGAGTCTTGGTATGGCGCTGTGGGTTAATGCACCAGACTGCAAAGTTGTTTGAACTGCAAGGTCGGCGGTTCAAGCTCACCAGCTGCTCCTCGGAAACCCTACACAGGGTCGCTACAGGTATGAATCAACTCGACAGTACTTAACAACAACAAAAATTTGGCCCAAGACACAATAACAGTTTTAACTGAAAAAATGGGACAAAATAAGTGAAAAGTTAACAGTTTTCAGACACTGGACAAGGTAGCCACAAGACAGCAATTATTTAAAGAAGGAACAAACAGCAGGACTTCTCAACTTCTGTGTCATTGGTATCTGGAGTCAGATAATTTGTTGAAGGAGCAAGTCCTGTATATTATTAGCAACATGCCTGGCCTGTACCCACTTGATGTCTGTAACACTACCCAGGTTGTGATAACTAAAAATGTCTCCACTTAAAAAACAGTCTCCAGACATTACCAAATGTCCCTGGAAGAATAGGAGGGCAGGGCAATGGCCTCTGATTGAGAATACTGCCCTACTGTAATGAGTCCATAATCAACTAGCTCTATTCTCAGCCTCGGAACTTCCAAATGACTTCTTAGCTAACCAAGGAAGAGCAGATCACCAAAGGTCACCAGATGTCTGAGAAATGCCACTAAAATGAAAAAGAGAGAAAAGCAACTTGGAAAAAACAAAGTACATATGAAAAAGACATTTTTTTTAAGCATTATGAATATAGCTTCAGTGTTTTAGAAGAAATTCATTGCATATATAAAACAAGAAAAGGAGTGTCCACGAAACAAGAAGATTGTAAAACAAAACAGCATTCTAAAAGCAAAAGAAAGTTTTTGAAAAAATTTTAAATTTCAGCAAAAAATACATCAAGGTATTTCACCACAAAATTTTGGAATGTTGGATACAAATAAATCACAAGCTTCCAAAGAGAAAGGTCCAGGTCAGAAACCTTTGCTTTGGACTCCAGTACCTAGAAAATTCAAAATTCTAAGAGAAAATTATTTCCAATCTAGAATTCTATATCCACCCGATCTATGAATCAAGCTTGAGGACATAATAAAGACAATTTCAAGATGTTCCAGGTTTCACAAAATTGTTTCCCATAAGCCTTTTCTAAGTAAGCTTCTAGATGGTTGGTTGGTTGGTTGGTTGGTTGGTTGGTTATGTACTGTGGAGTTGGTTCCGACTCTTAGTGATTCTGCATAGGGTTTCCGAGGCTGTAAATCTTTACAGGAGCAGAAAGCCTCATCTTTCTCCTGAGGAACAGCTGGTAGTTTCAAACTGCTGACCTTGAGACTAGCAGCCCAATTCGTAACCACTATGCTACCAGAGCTCCTTAAGCTTCTAGATAAGTGCTCAAAATCAAATAAGGAAATTAAAAAGAGCAAGAGAAGGACAAGGAAACTGGAGCTCTGATACAGAAGAAGAGAAGTAAGTGAAGACTCCAGAATGTTTATAAAGGGAATTCACATCTGATAGCTATACGCAAGATGTGGAGGGCAACAAACCCATAGTAGAGAGCATTCAAAGTAGCTAAGAGAGATTTCTTTAAGAAGACAAGATGGCTAGAATATCTGGTGCATCCAAGCTTATGGAGAGGAGATTTAGACACATTTTGTGGTTGGCAGAATTTGGGCTTGGATTGTTGTTTGTTAAGTGCTGTTGAGTGGGTTCTGCCTCATAGCAAGCCTGTATAGGGTGTCCGAGGAGCAGCTGATGAGTTTGAATCACCAACTTTGTGGTTCAAGTTGATCTTGTAGTCCAATGCTTTATCTTACAGCCACACACCAGGATTAGTAATAAAAATAAAAATTAAAAAATACAAGCAAATAAATAAGACAATTATTAACCCGAAGTGAGGGGTTAATAATAACAAGTAATCATAGACACTATTTGACTTAGCTGTGAACGGGGTTTACAAAAACATATTAAGTAAAAAGTAATCAAGCTGCCATCTTGGGAGTAAAGGTTGGTATATATAAAAAGCAAGTGGTTATGGTGGGACAGAGATGTGCTAAATCCTTATTTTTCATACTAGGAAGTAGACACTATGTCTATCCAAAATTTTAAAAAATCAAGAAATAGCAATATAAAATGCAGAACAGAATTGCAAATTCTTGTAAAATCTAGATTTTTTATGGAATCATGGAGGTTGGATGAATCCCCAAAACTACTGTCCAGAGGCCATCTTTAAACCATAAACCAAAAATATCCCCTTATCCTGGTGTGGGCCTGTAGGATAAACATTGCACTGCTAAACACAAGGTCGGTGGTTCAAACCGACCAGTCACTTCCTGTAACCCCTAAACGGGGTTACTGTGAGTGAGAACCAACTTGACAGCACTTAACAACAACAACAACATCTTAAAATCAAACAGTATTTTAGCTTAGCTAGTAAGTTTGCCTTGGCATTATACTCTTTTTAAAATCTATCTATATAGGGTCAAACTGACAACGGGAAATGGAAAGATTACATAGGAACCTTAGGGGACTAGAAGCTTATGTTAACTGGGGGAGCAACAACTCAGAAAAGAAGGGTAAGAATGGTTGCACAGCTCAAAGAATATACACTCAATGTCCTTGGATTGTACATGTGGAAACTGTTGAACTGGTATATGTTCTTCTGTGTATATTCTCAATAACAAAATATTAAATTAAATTATTAAAAAAGAAATAGCAATATAAAAATGCTATTTGTAGTTATGAATATAGATAGGAAGGAATCAGCAGAGACGTTTTAAATATTAGCCTTTACAGAAGTTGGGAGGCGGGTCAAACAAGAGGCTACTTTGAGCGGGGATACAATAATTAACAAGCTCCATTGAAAGAAATAATTTTTTAAATTATATAAATGGATAGTCTAACCAAATGATATTTGAACAAATCAAAGAAACAGAAAGGAGCAATAAGATGTGCAATAAGAACAAATAAAAGCAATGTACTAAAGAAGAAAAACTAAGCAACAGATGATACCTAAAAACACGCTGAACTTTGTTAAAGAGTTAGGATGTCAGACTGACCCACAAATTGCCAATTAAACATTATCTTTTCATTTTAAAATTGACTTTATGTTGTAATACATTGAGAGAAAGAGAAAATTGAGAGTAGGATAGTTATATATTCCAAATCGAAATCCATTGCCATCAAGTCAATTCTGACTCATAGTGACGCGATATAACAGCGTAAAACCACCCCCAGGGTTTCCAGGCTATAAACCTTTATGGAAGTGGACTGATACATCTTTCTTCCACAGAGCAGTTGGTGGATTTGAACTGTAGACATTTTAGTCAGTGACTAAGCACTTAACCATTGAGCCACCAGGATTCATCATTATATATCATTAATATTAATTAGCCATATTTAGGGTATTACACTAAATTGTTATCTCTCTGATTTAAGAATTAAGGTAAAGAGTTCAGAGAAAGCTTCCAAAACTCAGACTTGAAATTTGGATTTGAATTTAAAGACTATTTATAAATAAAACTTGCTATAGCAGCAAGAGCTCACTTACAAACATCCTCATATTCTTGTTGTAGTTCATTCAAAGTAAATACAACATGTCCAAAATCCACCATATTGTTACCTATAATAGAAAGAATAAGTTCAAATACTGCATTTACTTTTGAAAACATATATAGCTGCTGCCATCCTATGCTAATTTAAAGATAACATAGAAATATGTGGAAATAGGAGAAGAAAATAGCTATCATGCATCTTGAATGATATCTTAAATTGTGAATTAATAACTTGTACACACTGAAACATAAGACTAAGAGCACATGGTTTTCTCCTTAAAAAAAAGTAATTTATTTCATTTTAAACCCCCAAGCTAGATGGTCAGGATGAAGTTTTGTTGTTGTTCAGTGCTGTTGAGGTGGTTCCAACTCATAGGACCCTGTAAGGGTTTTTCCAAGAAGCAGCTGGTGAGTTTGAACTACCGACTTTGCTATTCAAACAGATCTTTCAGTTCAAACCAACCTTGTGGTCCAGTGCATTATCCTGCAGTGCCACACCAGGACTATTCAATTAGCAAACACTTATTGAGAGTCTTTTATAGGTATAGGGTACTTCTCATACAATATTTAAATACAAAGCCATGGTATTTTCAATAACCTCATGTGCATGTGAATATTGGACAGTGAATAAGGAAGATCATAGAAGAATTGGTGCATTTGAGCTATGGTGATGCAGAAGAATATTGAAAGTACTGTAGACTGCCAGAGCAACAAACAAATCTGTGTTGGAAGAAGTACAGCCAGAATTCTCCTTAGAAGCCAGGATGGTGAGATTTGTCTCTTGTACTAAGTGTGCCTGGTCTGAGTCATGGTATTTTCAATAGCCTCATATGCATGTGAAAGTTGGACAATAAGTAAGGAAGACCATAGAAGAATTGATGCATTAAAGTTGTGGTGTTGGAGGAGAACATTCAAAGTATCATGGACTGCCAGAAGAACAAACAAGTCTGTGTTAGAAGTACAAGCAGAATGCTCCTTAGAAGCCAGAATGGCTAGACTTCGTCTCTCATACTTCGGACATATTATCAGGAGGTATCAGCCCCTGGAGAAGGACGTCAGATTTGCTAAAGTGGAGGGTCAGTGAAAAAGAGGAAAACCCCAACAAGATGGATTTGCACAGTGGCAGCAGCAATGGGCTCAAACATAGCAACAATCGTGGGATTGGCTCAGGACTGGGCAGAGTTTTGTTCTGTTGGGCAATAGGTCACTATGAGTAGGCACCAACTCAACAGCAACTAACAACAACAACGACAAATTTTCTACCAAATTCTGGTCCCCATCCTATTGCAAAGTTCCCTCAATCCTCTTCCTCCAGCTGCCAATGAGTCCCATTGTAGTCCAAATTCCTGTTATTTTCTTAGGCATTGCACTTTATTTTATCTTTTCATTTAATCTACAACCCTAAAGTCTACCATAAATGATTTTCTGGTAGAATTCCATGTAACCTGGTCTGTCTCCAGACTACATTTCAACAAACGAAGGCTCACTACTACAAAGCCAACAACAATAAATGACAAAAACCAAAACAAAATGGTGGGAGTCTACTAGAAAAGATGTGGCATCTGATTATGTTCCTGTCACATTTACCCAAACTGTTCCCTCAGTCTAACATGTCTTTCTCACACTTCACCACCTTCAACAACTTAACTCCTACTGATCCTTGAAGAAATAGTTCAATATCACCTTTTCTGATAATCTTTCCCTGGTGCATGTGTCGTTATTAAGTACTCATAGCAACCCTGTATGGGGTTTCAGAGGAGTGGCTGGTGGGTTTGAACCACGAAGCTAGCAGTTAGCAGTCCAGTGCTTATCCTACAGCGTCACACCAGCAGTATATTATATTGTGATAATATATCTACTTACTCCACAAGAGAATTTTATGTTTTCTCTTTCCCATACTAGAATGTGAGAGCCTTCAAAACAAGGAGTATGTGTTTTACTCATTTTTGTATCACCTAATTCCAGCCACAGTAGATATTAAACTAGCTGACTCTTTAAAAGAATGAACCAGTTAACTAATCACTCATTACTCAATCCATTATGATAGGATATCTCCTAGTCACATTTAAGCATGTATTATTCACAAGACGTGAAGTAATCAACAACAGCATAGAAAATTCTGTAATCAGAGCTACATAATAAAATTTTAAATTCAAGGCATTAAGTGTCCTAACTTGTGGAGTCAACATTCTTGCCACTGAAGTAACTACATCACCACAAAGACAAGCAGTGGCTGTTGGAAAAGAGAATATAGAAACAAAAAAGATTTTTTTTTTCCTTACACCTTACCAAAATTACCAAGATATAACAATTTTAGAAATTTATTATCTTGTTTGTCTATATCATCTCTTACTATCGACACCAGTAAGCAATGCTGATGACAAAAGGTGAGACTAAAGATGGAAATGAAGTGAATGATGAATCACAAAATTGATATGCAAAAGATATATGCATATATATGTATCAATTAAAATTACTCACTGTCAACACAGGTATAGCGTATCACCTCCTGAACAGTTTCAGTGGCTACAAAGATATCCATGCTATTCAAAACAGGAATCACTTCATTAGTTGCAACTTGACCATCTTTTATCCTACAGAATATCCTGAAGGCATCCTGGAATGCTGCAAAACAACACAAAGAAATAATTTTAACATGAAAATCAATAGCTTCTCTTAGAGAGGTCTTCTCAAACTTTTAGAACCACTATTTCTATCACTAATATGAATGGCTCTTTCAAGGACTTCCTTTACAATTTGTATGGAGACCCATAAGTAGCTATAACTTTTAGGAAGAAATACAGAGTTCAGACACAGTAAAGAAAGTACTATTAAAGAGTAGAGAACAAAAGAAACACGAGACATCAAAGGGGAAAAAAGAGTGAACAAAGCCAAGGAAATAATGACATTGTCATGCGTAAAGAATTGTGATTAACTGGAGAATGGAAGAAGCAAAACTATGAAGAGGTGAGAGAGTCAGGCATTTAAGAGTTCAGATTAGATTCATTTGTTAATAAGTATCTAAATTCTTGAGTAAGAGAGTAACATGATAAAACAGACTTTTAAGAGAATAAGTCTATACAAGGAAAGGCGGTTAGTGGTAGAAAGTTAGGATAACATGGCCATGATCCATGTTTTTTAATGACTTCTATGAAACAACTCATGTCTAATTTTCCTCAAACTACATTACTGGGGACAAAAGAAGTTAAGATCCACACAAAGTCATATATTCACTCTATTCAAAAATCAGTTACTATCACAATAATTATTTTCTATATTTTTTAACAGTCATTTTACCTGGATCCTGAGAGGCCAAATATGAGATATTATTCACAGCATTAAGGAAATTTGAAAAACCCAGCAATCCTTTACCTATGAGAATGATTCAGAATCAGAAGGGGAAAAAACTACATTAATATACTTACAATTAACAAACTCACTAAGACCATAAGATAAAAACATAAACTAAAAATACAAATAGAATTATTTGATGATATTATAACAACATAATCTATACACAAGAGCAGTCAACCTTAACATTAAATACAGAATTTAAGAAGAAAATACAAATTAAAACCACAATAGATATACATCTATCAGAATGACTACAATTTTAAAAGGCTGACTAGATCAAGGATTTGCAAGAATGTAAAGCAACTAGAGCACTCATATATCGCTGAAGGGAATGTAAAATTGTACAATCATTTCATAACCACAGCTTGGCAGTATATCTGGTATATAACTCAACCATTTTACTATTAACTATTTACTGAAGAAAAATGATACTATATGAACACATAAAGGTAGGCATATGAAGATTTATACCAGTCTTAAATATAATAATTAAAAAATAGAAACAACCTGTCTTAGTTCTCTAGTGCTGCTATAACAGAAATACCACAAGTGAATGGCTTTAACAAACAGAAATTTATTCTTTTCATTTAGGAGGCTAAAAGTCCAAATTCAAAGCACTGGCTCTGAAGAAAGATGCTTGCCTCCTTTCAGCATCAGTAGGCCCAGCATTCCTTGGAGTTCTCCATATGTCTTGTCATCAGTCTGCCTCTGGATCTACTGCCACAGTACAGGGACCACAGGTCTAAAGAACACACTCCACTCCTGGCTCTTCTATCTTGTGGGTAGTAAATTCCACTTTTTTTGCTCAAGTGTCTCTCCTTGAATCTCTTGTACGATAAAGCTGGTGCATGCCATACCCTTGGGAATCTCCCATTAATCAGATGGGGGGGGGGTTGAAGTATGAAGTCCTGGTGTGGCAATGTAGTATAAGCACTGGACTGCTAACCACAAGGTTGGTGGTTCAAACACAGTTGCTCCTTGGAAACCATGTACAGGGTCGCTTTGAGTTGGCGACTAGAAGGAACAACAATAATATCCCAACCTTAATCCTCTTATTGGGGCTGAACCACATCAAATCATATCATGGGGGATCACTACATCCCAACTGCTAAACCCCTAAGAATCTTAGCTTAGTTAAATTAACACAAAACTTAAATATTCCACAGGGAATATTTACTAGAAATAAACTAGAACAACTCTCAGATAGTACCCATTTGACCTAGCCTCGATGGCTTGATAATCAGACCTCAACTAGAGGAAGATTAAAAAAAAAAAAAATTGATAAAGGAAACAAGGGTAAATTGGTACAATTTGATGAACCTGACCTATACTCATGGAGGTAGTAATTCTAAATACCAACAGAGAGGGAAGGAGTCTTTACATCAAGTATCAATGTTAACCCCTCTGTACATAGGGTAGATAGAGATGGGCAACTTTGATATTGGCTACCTAATATGAGGGGGCGATGAAGGCACGAAGTGACTGGCTTACAAGGTTTCAAGGGGGAGCTTAGTTTAATAGTGTGTGGAGAAAGAAAGAGTCCCTGCTGAATAGTTTTCATCTTGTCTAGATTGGTGGTGGTGGTTGTTATGTGCCATGGAGTCAGTTCCAACTCATTGAGACCCTGTACAAGGTTTCCAAAGCTATAAATCTTTATGGGAGCAGAAAGTTTCATCTTTCTCCCACTGAACAGCTGGTAGTTTCGAGCTGCTGACCTTGTGGTTCACAGCCCAATTCATAACCTCTCAAGATGGGTCTGGTTAAAAGAGATGGGGATCAGATTCTTATGATTCATTAGTGAGTAACTGTTATCATGACTAATTGCAGCTGTCACAATTGTAAAGGTAGAAGTTTTGTAACAAAAACAGGGGACTGGTTAATCTTATAGTCCAGAAACAAAGGACCCTAGGATCATCAAGGGAGAAGAGCACAAGTGGAATGCAAGACCTTATCCAGGAAGCAGCAAAACCAGAGATGGAGGCAGAGATGGGGACATGGAGAGAGGGAGCAGCTGAGGACTCTAGATTCATGGGAAGAGAGGGACTGAGAGCTGGTGGCCAGGAGGCAGGCTTGCAGAATGTGCCCTTTGGTGGTGTAAATTATTATATATGCCTGAGTGCTTAAAAAAAAAAAAAAAAAAGAGCCAAAATGAATAGAGAGAAACACTGTTAACTGATGGTACATGGAGGGGATTATGATCGTTGTAATGAAACAAGGTGTATGATTTGTTTAATGTAAATCTGATGATCTGCCCTGTAAACGTTTACTCGATCCACAATAAAAAAAATTTTTTTTAATTTTTAAAAGAGGGCCCTGGAGAATACCAATCACACTTCAAGGAATAGGTTGAAGAATGCTGTTGTTCTTAAGTGCCATCAAGTAGGTTCCTACTCATAGCAATCCTATATAGGGCTTCCAAGGAGTGACTGGTGAGTTTGCACCACTGATCTTGCAGTTCAAACTGATGTTGTGGTTCAAAACAACCTTATGATCAAGTACTTATCCTACTGTGCCACACCATTGAAGAATAGGCACGGACAAAGAGTATCCAACCCGAGAGGGAGAGGATACCTGGAGATCATAGAGTCCCAAGAACCCAGGGAGGCAGGGATTTTGGAAGAGGTCAGTGTTAACAATACATATGACCGAGAGGGCCAGTCAACAGAGAAAGGGACTTGACAGTGATCCTGACAGGGACAGACATATACATTATTGCTGGTATGTCTGAGGGCCCCTCTGGTTGTCCTAGCTGCACCTCCCATGCACCACCCAGGCCCTTTTTGTAGAATGATGTCGATAACCCTAGGGGCTAGCAGTTCCAAGATTTGCCTCTAGAACAAGACAATGGAAGAGGAATATTTCCTTTCTCTAGCACCATGATCAGGAGATATTGTAGACATGCTTACAGTATACATGCTTAAACTTTCTCCCTATCCCCAGGCCCTATTAAAGTGCACTGGTTGCTCTTTAAAAAAAGAAAGAAAGAAACTATTGGTAGATACAAAATATTGATGACTCTCACCATAATTAAGCTATGAAACAAAGCAGACAGAAAGCTAGTCCATACTACATGATTCCATTTATGTAAAATTCTAGAAAATACAAACTATCTAAAGTGACAGAAAACAAATCAATACCAGCCTGTGGGTGGAAGTGGGGCAAATACTAAGAGGGAGAGAAGGCTTACAGAGGGATGTGAGGAAACTCAGAGTGATGGATACATTCATTACCTTGATGCAGATGTACATATACATGTCACAGGTTTCACAGTTATGTGCAATTTATTACATGTCAATTATGTCACTAAGACTGCAAAAATATATAAAATGTTTTTGAAACCAGCACAACAGAAAATTTCATGTTTTATTTTCATTTCTTGACAAAAACTCTAGAAAGGGAATAATCTCTTCAGCAGATGGTGCTGGCAGAACGGGAAAGTGATATGCAAAAGATTGAAACAAGACGTTCACCTCACACTGTATACAAAAACCAATTCAACATGGATTAAAGACCTAAATGTGAATCCCAGAATTATGAAGGCCATCAATGAAAAAATAGGGACAAATGTGAAGGCACTAATTCAGGGAATACACAGACTACCAAACATTGTGAAAACCACACAAACAAAAGTAGACAAAATAGATGAGTGGGGCATACTAAAAATTAAAAACTTATGTGCATCAAAAGACTTCACCAGAAGAGTAAAAACGGAACCCACAGAATGGGAAAAAATCTTTTGCAGTGACACATCAGACAAGGGACTCATTTCTAAACTATATAGGAAACTACAACACCTCTACAAGAAAAAGACAAATAACCCAATTAAAAAATGGGCACAGGACATGAACAGACACTTCACCAAGGAGGAGATCCGGGCAGTCAACAAACATATGAAGAAATGTTCATGATCACTAGCCATTAGAGAGATGCAAATCAAAACAACAATGAGATCATCTCACACCAGCAATAACAGCAAAGATTTAGTTTGTTTGGGGCACTTCCCAATTAAGTATATTATTGTCACGATCCTAGTTTTTATTTTGGGTGGTGGATCCAAGATACTTATTACATTATTAAACTAACATTAAATAAATAAAATTAAACCATGCACAGAACAATGATGAGAATGTGTCATAATCCAATCCAATAATTAGTCAATCCAGCTCTGTGTACCTGTAGCCCAATTTTTTAAAACATTCTTATTGCAAATATAGCCACTAAAATTATGTGCCTATATTATATTTTAATAGCATTTGCATATTTGTCATTTGACCAACCTACAACTTATAACCATGTTTGCAGACCCTTAGACAGACAATAAAAACAAGATCTTACCATCAACATCAATACTCTTTAGTGCCCGTCGCATTTCTGAATCACTTATGGAAATCTTCAAGGTGCATAGGATCATTGGCAGATCATTCACATAAATCTTGCCATGTTGAATTTTACTAAATAGTTTACAGGCTCTATGAAGTGCTATACACATATAACAAAACATGTAGTTAATTAATTCAAAGGACTGATTACTTTCCCCTGCCCCCACTCCAACCTTCCTCAGGAAAAAAATAAAATAACTAAAAGGAGATCATAATAACTAAAAACCAACTGCCATCAAAAGGGGGCTAAAACGTTCTTTTTTCAGATTCTCTGCTTCAAAATTGATTCTCTTGATGTTTGGGGGTTAAGTCTGAAGCCAGTAAACTCTCAGTCTGCTCCAGTTTCCTTAGGACCTGTCAGCAAAATCACACAGGGCTCACCTAGGCTAAGACTTGAACAGCTTTCCCCAGGAATATTAAATCAGTGCTCTGGTCCCCATAGCACTTAGTAAGCATCTCACTCAGAGTACTTGGTATTGTGCCTGCTTGCATGTCAACAGTCAGCATTTCTCACAAACTGTCAGTTCCTAGGGTACCAATTTTGTCACTCTTCTATTTCCAGTATGTCCATTCCAAATAGATTCTCAATAGATGACAGTTTTAAATATAGAGAAAGACTTAAAAAAAAAAAAAAAAAGGTGATAGTGACTTCAACAATAGGAGTTTTAGTAGAGTGATGGAGGGAGAGGCCAAACTTCAGTGAAATGGAATTAAATAAATGGAGTAATTATTGGAAACAACTCCTCCAAGAAGCTTCCCTGGGAAACACAAAGAATAAACTTGAAAAAACTAGTCCCTAAGGAAGCAGAATAAAATTTGATTCATATGACAAGTGATGGAATTAGTCTAATTAAAAGGGAACCTTTTCCATTAAGAAGTGGGAAGGATATTCAAGAAGATTCTACCCAACAGCCTACATATGGAGGAGAGGTCCACGATATGATAGAGGTTAGGATCAAAAAAAGAGTGAAGGGCAGTGCCAGATTTAATATTTATATTCCAATGAAATCAATGACTCCAGTGCTTATTAATTTACTCATAGTATATATGTGATACCCTGACTTCTGCCCTCCCCCTGGGCCCCACCAATAAAAAAAGTCTTTGGACTGGAATAAGCATATGTAAAATATGGTTTACTTATTTTACCAATATAACATAAGACAGTTATACATTAAAATATCATCTTATACTTCCTTACTGCCTGAAGCATTCAACATATCATGCAGTATAGCAGACACCGTAAGTTCAGGTACAGACAATGATCCCCGAAACAAGTCTTAATCAGGAAATCTACTCAAGAAATTCTAGAACTTATTACCATTTAACTCTTTTGAGAATAAGCGTCTGCAAGGTACTTCTTCATATAAAGTCTGGTAGAGGTTAAAATGTGTTTCCTTTTTCCTGTTAAAGAAGTAGCCACATTAAAAAGCAGCAAAGAAAATATTACAAGATCCTATTTAAAAGTATTAGCAAGTAAAGTTCTCAATAATCTGACATTCTCCCAGTCTCTTACTCCAGGAAGTCTTTCTTGAAAAAAGTCTAAAAACTTCTTAAATAATAATTCGTCTTACCAGCTTCTAACATGATTATTCTGATGAAAAAATGCTTTTGGAAACTAAATTACACTCTAACATTCCCATCTTGTTTCCTTTAGGTGGTATTTCTTCATGGATTTACCCTGATCAGTAAGTAGTGCCCATGACCCCACTCTACCCTTTGACTGTGATGCAATTTTTCCTACTTTCAATTCAATTATAAAGCAATGTATTTCAATAAGGCAAAGAAGTTACTGTCATCTGTAAACAACCAAAGAATTCCAGATTCTATCACCTCTCAATAAAAAGTCTCAACAAGATGATTCATCTGGTGACATAACATGTAAATAACTGAAACTATAGAATGTTGAGATCCATATTTGTGCCCTTTCCAAAGACAGGTGACCCAACAGAATGTGGAACTCATCGAACAATATCATTAATATCACATGCAAGTAAAATTTTGCTGAAGATATTCAAAAAAGTTACAGCAGTACAGTCACAGGGAGCTGCCAGAAATTCAAGCCAGATTCAGAAGAGAAGATGATATGAATGAGGATATCATTGCTGATGTCAGACAAATACTGGCTGAAAGCAGAGAATACTAAAAAGATGCTTACCTGTGCTTTATTGACTATGCAAAGGCTTTCAATAGTGTACATCATGACAAGCTATGGATAATATTGAGAAGAATGGATATTCCAGAACACTTGATTGTGCTCATGAGGAAACTATACATAGACCAAGAGGCAGTTGTTCAAACTGGAAAGGTGTGTGCCAGGATTGTATCAATCAGCATACTTATTCAGTCTCTATGCTGAGAAAATAATCCAGAACACTGGATTATATAAAGAAGAACATACTATCAGAATTAGGGGAAGGCTCATTAACAACCTATGATATGTAGATGACACAGCCTTATTTGCTGGAAAGGAAGAGAACTTGACGTACTTATTGTTGAAAATCAAAGACTACAGCTTTCAGTATGGACTGTACCTCAACATAAAGAAAACAAAAATCACAACCATGAGCCCAACAAATAATATAATGATAAATGGAGAAAAGATTGACGTTGTCAAAGACTCGTTTTACTTGGATCTACAATCAATGCTCATGGAAGCAGCCATCAAGAAATTAAATGACGTATTTCAGTGGACACATCTGCTACAAAAGACATCTTTAAAGTGTTAAAGAACAAAGATGTCAGGTTGAGAATTAGGTGCACCTAACCCAAGCCAAGTCCTGGTGTGGCGCTGTGGGCTAATGCATCAGACTGCAAAGTTGTGTGAACTGCAAGATCGGTGGTTCAAGCTCACCAGCTGCTCCTTGGAAGCCCTATAAAGGGTTGCTATGGGTCCGAATCAACTCGACGGCGCTTAACAACAACCCAAACCATGGTATTTTCAGTCATCTCATATGCGTGTGAACATTTGACAATGAATAAGGAAGAATGTAGAAGAACTGATGTCTTTGAATTATGATGCTGGTGAAGGATGTTGACAGTACCATGGATTTTTATGAAAACAAACAAGTTTGTCTTAGAAGAAGTTCAGTTAAAATGCTCCTTAGAAGCAAGGATGCTGAGACTTCCTCTCTCAGACATGTTGTCAGGAGGGACCAGTCCCTACAGAAGGACACCATGCTTGGTAAAGTGGAGGCTCAGTGAAAAAGAGGTAGACCCCCAACAAAATGGATTGGCACAGTAACCGCAACAATAGGCTAAAACACAAGAAGCTTGAGGAAAGTACAGGGTCAGGCAGTATCTCATTCTGTTGTGCATAGGGTTGCTCTGAGTTGGAACTGACTCTACAGCAGCTAAAGACAAATAGAATGTTATTATTGACACAAATCTTAGGAGACCATCTAAGTAAAATTATCTTGTTTTACAGATATGGAAACTACAGCTTAGAGATATAAAGAGAATTGTACACAAGCCTGTAGTTAATATGTAAAATCAATCAGGACTCAAATCAGTGCTCTTACCTCTACACTACCCTTCCTAAAAGGATAATCTCTTGGTTTACACAAACTATTTGGCATTCTTTACATGGAAGAGAAATTACTCTAGAAAGAAAAACCCCAAGTCTGAACCCAACAACAGCATATGATGGTTTAAATACCCAGTAATTGAAGGAGCTGTTCTTATGGGTGATGAAGTCTTGTAAATTCCGCACTGATTAGGCAGCTTGTGTGAAGAGCTTTCTTTCTTAGTTATCTTCTCCTTTGACAGCTTCACAGAGGAAGAGGTAATCTAGAGCCAAATGCATCAATGTATTTATTTAGTGCTTCAAATCACATTGGTAATCTAGAAACCTCTTATAGAACAATTATATCAGGCTCTAATTTATTCTTCTGATGTAAAATTGTGTTTTGAAATCAAGTTACATACTATATACGTCAAATTTTATATAAGCTATACAATGTTTTTCTTAAGTATGCAACGAATCGTTAATATTTAGTTGATAGTCATGAATTACCGCTACTCATCTGTCAGTTTTTCATACTACCATGGCTTGTGTGTTGCTATGATGTTGGAAGCTATGCCAATGATATTTTAAATACCAGCCCACTCACCCATAATAGACAGGTTTTGGCAGAGCTTCCAGACTAAGACAGACTAGGAAGAAGAGGTCTTCAGTATGGATTGCACTTATATGTAAAGAAAACAAAAATCCTCACGACTGGACCAATGAACAACATCATGAAAAACAGAGAAAAGACTGAAGTCAAAGACTTCATTTTGCTTAGATCCACAATCAATGTTCATGGAAGCATCAGTCAAGAACTCAAACAACATATTGCAATTGACAAATCTGCTGCAAAAGACCTCTTTAAAGTTTTAAAGAACAAAGATGTCACTTTGAGAACTAAGGTGAGCCTGCCCCAAGTCATGGTATTTTCAAAAGCCTCATATGTATGTGAAAGCTGAACAATGAATATGGAAGATGTAGAAGAATCAGTACCTTTGAATTATGGTGTTGATGAAGAATATTGAAAGTACCGTGGATTGCCAGAATAAACAAATTTGTCTTGGCAGAAGTATAACCAGAATGATCTTTAGAAGGGAGGATGACAAAACTTCATACTTTGGACATGTTGTCCAAAGGGCAAGTCCCTGGAGAATGACATCATGGTTGGATAAGTGGAGGGTCAGTGAAAAAGAAGAAAATCCCCAAAGTGCTGAACAGACACAGTGGCAAGAGAAGTGAGTTCAAACATAACAACAATTGTGAGTATGATACCGGACCAGACAGTGTTTCATTCAGCTGTGTAGAGAGTCTCTATGAGCTGGAACTAATTTCACGGCACCTAACAACAAAAACAACAGTCAAGAATCATGTTAGTACAGTTAGAACAAGATGAGTTAACCACCAGACTCCAGGGTACATGAGTTAACCACCATGACTACCTATGCAAATTAATGTGGAGAAATAGTACTGATATTTCAATGATATAGGTAAATTTTATTTAAACTGTCCTTGTGGTTGACCATTTCATTTAATATTGCATGTATAAACTAGGATACAAAATATACAAGCAGCTAGGCAGATAGAAAAATACCATTTGAAAAACTGAGAACTCTAGTTGCAGGTGTCTTCAGTTTTACAAGGAACCTAAAGCCTTGAGTTTTAAAAACCATACAGAATATCAAGACAGGACTCTAGGATCGCACAAGTGAAGAATTGATAATGAGACCCCATGTAGAGCAAACATCTTCAATAGGCAATGTTTCCAGCAAAAGTAGGCAAGGAAGAAAAGAAAAAATCCTCTAACAGTAGTATGAAGAATTACATCTGTCTGTGTCTATGTCTGTGTGTCTGTCTCAACTCCAGAGTGAAAAGAAGAAAGGAATAAAACACCCAAGAATATAAATTACCATAAGTGAGAATCAGAAAAATAGCAAATGGAAGATTTAGATTTACCAAGAACTTCAAATACTGGATTTATAGCTCTTGAAACAAACATGGCACATGAGCTAAGAACATGACATAAGACATATTTAAAGAAGAACCAAATAAAACCTCTAGATGTAAAAAATATATACTCTATGGAATTAAAATCTCAAAGAACAGACTGAACAGGAGATTAAATTCAGCTGAAAAAAGAATAAGTGAACTAGAGAACAGATGGGGAGAACTTAGAGTAAAATAGAGAAAAGTTGTGAAAAATATAAATCAATGCTAAAGAACATGTATATTCAAGTCTAATGCTCATCTGTCTAATAGAAGATCCAGAAGGACAGTAGGAAGAGATTGAAGGACAGGAAATACTCTAAAAAAATAACACATAAGAATTTTCCAAAATTTATGTGAAGCATACATTCTCAATTCAGGAAGAAAAAAAAAGTACAAAGACTGAGAAATAAAAATAACTATGTATCTGGATTCCTGGTGTGTGCTTATCCTGGTAGGATAAGCACTGGGCTGCTAATCACAGGGTCAGGGGTTCAAACCCACCAGCTGTTCCTCAGAAACACTAGACAGGATCATTATGAGTCAGAACCGACTCTACAGCACTTAGTAATGACAATGTATATCCATGTGTATCCAAGTGCATTTGATACAAACAGTAAAAGTAGTAGGAAGAATTATGGCCACCCAAGAAGATTTGTCCATGTCCTAATCCCCAGAAGCAATGAATGTAACCTTATATGGAAAAAGTTTAGTATACAGTATTGAGATTATCCTGGATTTAGGGTAGATTCTAAATCCAATAACAGATGTCTTTATAAGAAAAAAGTAAAAGGAGATTTGAGACATAAACATCTATGAAAAACCACGTGAAGACAAAAGCAGAAATTGCGGTTATGCTGCCACAAACCAAGGAAAACTGGGTGCTAACAGAAGATGGAAGGAACAAAGGATTCTTCCTTAGAACTTTTACGAGAGAGTGTGGCCCAGCCAACACCTTGATTTCAGACTTTTGGCCTCCAAAACTGTTAGATGATTAATTTCTGTTGTTTGAAATTACCACATTTATAGGAATTTATTATGGTAATCCTAGAAAACATAGTGAAATTGTAGAGTATCAAAGTCAAAGACCTTATATTAAACAATTAAAAAAAGAAGGCATTAACAATAAAACTATAAACATTTAATCTTTGATAATTCTGAAGTATCTTCATTGAGTTGAAAACTTTTGGAGATCATTGTTAAAACAGGAGAAATGTTCATGGAAAGCAAGTAGAATTATTGGTTTAATGGAGAAAAGAGGAAAGCAAAATCATATTCTTCTGAAAGGACCCCTGTGCTGTGTCAGAAGGGGAAGAAGATGAAATATTTAAGATTGTAACATGTTAATAATGGACTAAAATGTAATGTTTGCCAGATAAGAACAGCACTCAGAAGTGAATGAAATACTTCCAGCAACACTGAATTGTATACATGAAAAAATGTGAAATTGACAAATATTATTTTATCTATATTTTTACAATCAAATAAATAAATTTTAAAGAAATATTTCCAATTCTTTACCTCTGTTCTTTTACTATGCAGTTGTACTTGTACACTTTTCTTTCTCCTGATTTTGTCAGCATATTTTTCTTCACATAGGCATACTGATGTTTCTGACCTAAATTGCACAGAAAACCAGAATAACTCCTGAATTGATTTTTTTTTTCTTTTTTTTTCTTCTATTTAGATTTTAATGATGGAAAATTTCAAACATATACAAAAATTCCACGTGTGACCCGTGTGTACATGACCACCAACAAAATGAAACAAATCTACTGCTATGGAATCAATCCTGCCATGCACCCTCACCCAGCGTCAGCCATTATCAACTCCTGGGCGATTCATTTCATCTTTTTCTCTATTCCTGTTTCCATAAATTATTATTCTAAAGCAAATCTCAGTTTCATTTCATCTAATACTTTAATATGCATCTCTACAAAGTGTTATTTTCCATTAAAAAAACTACATAAAATACCATTGTTGCTGTTGTTGTTTTTAAGTGCTATCGAGTCAATTTCGACCCATAGCAACCCTGTACAGGATATCCAAGGAGTGGCTGGTGAGCTTGAACCGCCGACTTTGTGGTTCAAACAGACTTTGCAGTCCAGCGCATTAACCTGCAGTGCCACACCAGGACTACACAATACCATTATGACACCTAAATAATTAACAATGATTCATTTATATTATCAAATAGTCAATCATTTTTAAATTTCCAATTGTCTCATAAATGTCAAATTTTTGTTTTTTTTTAACACTTTATATCAGGATCCAATGAGGTGCCCACATTATGGCTGGCTAACATGTCTTTGTTTCAGTTTTATTTATCTCACACTTACAAAGGGTTAAAAGACTTGCACAAAGCAATGCCATGTGTACTGTTCACCAAAATTCCCTAAATGGTAGCATCATGCCAAATTTATCAATTTATCTCCATGTATATTATTTTTCTGAAACTTATTGTATAGTCTTTATACCTAAATTTTCTGTTTGTGTGATCCACAATATACAACTACAATAACAATAACAAACTCAAACCCATTGCTATCAAGTCAATTCCCACTCATGTTTGTTACTGATAGTTGCTCAGTTCCGACTCATAGGGACCCTGTGTACCACAGAATGAAACACGGGCTGATTCAGCACCATTCTCAAAATTGTTGTGTCCATTGCTGCAGCCACTGTGTCAATCCATCTCATTGAGGGTCTTCCTCTTTTTCACTGATGCTCTACTTTACCAAGTCTGATGTTCTTTTCCAGGGACTGGTCTCTCCTGATAGCAAGTCTAAAGTGAGTGAGTTGAAGTCTTGCCATCCTTGCTTCTAAGGCGCATTCTAGCTCTACTTCTGCCAAAATAGATGTGCTAGTTCTTCTGAAAGATCATGGTACTTTCAAAATTCGTTGCTAAAACCATAATTCAAAGGCATTAATTATTCTCCAGTCTGCCCTATTCATTGTCCAGCTTTCACACGCCTATGAGGTGATTGAAAATACCATAGCTTGGATCAGGTGCACTTTAGCCCTCAAAGTGACATATTGGCTCTTTAATACTTTAAGGAGATCTTTTGCAGCAGATTTGCCTAATGCAATATGTAATTTGATTCTTGACTGCTGCTTCCATGAGTATTGATTTTGATTCCAGTTAAAATGAAATCATTGGCAACTTTAATTTTTTCTCCATTTATCATGAAGTTGTTAATTGGTCCATTTGTGAGGATTTTTGTTTTCTTTACAATGAATTGTAATTCATACTGAAGGCTATATTCTTTTACCTTCATCAATTGCTAATGAGTCTTCCTCCAATCCTGATTCTACATTCTCCTGCATATAGTTCAGCTTCTCGGATTATTTGTTCAACATAGAGGTTGAATAAGTGTGGAGAAATGATGCAACCCTGACACACACCTCTCCTGATTTTGAACCATTCAGTATCCCCTTGTATTGCAACAATTGCCTCTTGGTCTATGTTAAGTGTTCTGAGATTCCATTCACAATATTATCCATAATTTTTTTATGATCCACACAGTTAAATGCTTTTGCATATTCCATAAGATACAAGTAAACATCTTTCTGGTATTCTCTGCTTTCAGCTAAGATCCATCTGATGTCAGCAAGGATATCCCTAGTTCCATGTCCTCTTCTGAATCTGGCTTGACTTCCTGGAAGCTCCCTGTTGACTTACTACAAGAAGCTGCTATAGCTTTTTCTGAATTATCTTCAGCAATTTTACTTGCATTAATATTGTTCCATGATTTCTGCATTCTGTTGGGTCACCTCTCTTTGGAATGGGTAAAATATGGATCTCTTCCAGTTGACTGGCCAGGTAGCTGTCTTGTAAATTTCTTGGCAGACTAGCAAGTGCTTCCAGTGCTGAATCACCCCAAAGAGAAATTTTGTACCTATTGAACAAAAACTCTTCATTCCATCAGATGGATACATTACATTTTGTTTGGTGTACACTCAGGTTGTTTCTTCCTTTTGGCTATTGTGAATAATGCTGTTAAGAACATTCAGGTACATGTATCTGTTTGAGTCTTTGTTTTCCATTCTTGTGTATACCAAGTAGGGAAACTGCTGCATCATATGCTAAGTTTGTGTATATCATTTTGAAAAGCCACAAAACTGCTTTCCACCCTGGTTGTACCATTTTATGTTTCCGCCATCAATATACAAGCTCCACATCCTCACCAACACGTTAATTTTCTTTTTCTTTTAGCCATCCTAGTGTATTTGTGAGGATGGAGCAGGGCCGGGCAGTGTTTTGTTCTGTTGTGCATAGAGTTGCTATGGGTCAGTACCAAGTCTCGAAGGCACTTAATAACAACAACAACAAGTGGGTGTGAGGAGTCCATGGGTGGGATAAATGATTAACACACTCAATTGATAATTGAAAGGTTGTAAGGATCCTCATCCATTACTGGTGGAAGCACAAAATGGTACAACTGCTGTGGAAAACAGTTCCTTAAAAAGTTGAACAATACAGTTACTTACAGCCCAACACTTTCACTTGTAGGCATATAGATCCAAGAGATTTGAAAGCAGTGATGCAAACAGATACATATACACCAATGTTTATTATAGCACTATTCACAATAGCCAAAGGTGCAAACAGCCCAAATGCACATCAATCAATGAAAGGATAAATGAAATGCAATATCTATGTATATGTACATATGGTGGTGGTTGTGTGCTGTGGAGTCAATTCCGACTCACAGTGAGCCTGCATACGATTTCCGAGGCTGTAAATCTTTACCAGAGCAGAAAGCCTCATCTTTCTCCTGCACAATGGGAGCTCTGGTAGTGTAGTGGTAACAAGTCAGGCTGCTAACCTCAAGGTCAGCAGTTCAAAACTACCAGCCATTCTGTAGGATAAAGATGAGGCTTTCTGCTCCAGTAAAGATTACAGCCTTGAAAACCCTATTCAGGGTCACTATGAGTCTAAACTGACTCCACGACACATCATCACCATATATATAACAAAATATTACTCTTACATAAAGAGAAATGAAGTCCTGAGATGTGGATCCACATATGGATTAACCTTGAAAACATTAGCTGAGTGAAATAAAACCACTCAATCATAAAAGGATAAACACTGTATGATTTAGTATAAAATATCAGAATCTGCAGATGTATAGAGAATAGGGTTTAATAGTAGCTACAGCACAACAGGGATAGAGAATCGTTGTTTAGGAAGCATTGAGTTACTGTTTATGGTGATGGAAATTTTGGTAATGGGTATAGATGATGGTTGCACAACATGATGATGTCACTGGTCTTACTGAATTGTACACATTAAAGGTGTTGAATTGGCAAATACTATCTATACAGGGTTGCTATGGGTTGGAAACAACTCGATGGCACTTAACAACAACATCTATATTTTTACAACAATAAAAATAGAAAGGGAAAAAAAAGAAATGGTCTATCAAAACTATAATCTGGCCACTAGAAACTGAACTGCTTTTGAATCATTATCCTGCTTTCTTATTGCTTTCTTCATCTCCCTCTTCTTATTAGACTGTCAGAAAGTCTCACAACACAAACATCATATTGACTAAACGATTGTTGTCATTAAGTGCCCTCGGGTCAGATCTGACTCATAGTGACCCTGTGTAGAGTTTCCAAGGTGGTGAGTATGAACTGCTGTTCTTTCAGTTAGCAGTCCAGTGCTTATTCTAAGCACCACACAATGGTGGGGGTGGTGTGCCGTGGAGTCAGTTCCGACTCATAGTGACCCTGTACAGTGTTTCTGAGGCTGTAAATCTTTATGGAAGCAAAATGCCTCATCTTTCTCCCGCGGAATAGCTGGTAATTTCGAACTACTGACCTTGAGTATCTGAGGTTCGCAGCCCAATTCATAACCACTACACTACCAGAGCTCCTTTTAATAAGATGAGTCAAATAGTCTTATTCATATTTACTTCCTAGAGAATAAGAGAAAACTCATATTCCTGGAAGTGGTATTAAAGCCAGCTAGGTTGAAGAATTCCTACCCAGACCTAAGGGTGCCTTGAGTTAAACCAAGAAATTTACACACAAAGAAAAAGAAGAGGTCCACATAAACAAGCCCATTCCTTGCACTAGAGGCCCCTTGACATTCCAAAGGGATTCTAGGTACAAAGGTCATAAAAAGAGCTAACTGAAAAGGGAAGACCCTGCCCAGTTTTCCTTGTTAATCTTCTTGAAGCTACAATTCCCTGAACCAGTTCCAGCCTGATTAGAAAGCATGCACCATAAGGACCACCCTGTCCTCTGACTAAGCCCAGAACATCCCAGAAATTGTTGTTGCTGCTGCTATTGTTAAGTGCCGTCTAATCAGTTCCAACTCATAGCAACCCTGTACAGGTTTTCCGAGGAGTAGCTGATGGGTTTGAACTGTTGACTTTGTGGTTCACAGTGCAATACTGATTCTACAGCACCACAAATATAGCCACTCAAACCCATTTTAGAAGCAAGGAGTCCGACAGCGACTTCCAGACCAAGTCTTAACCCTGCCCCTCTCGAATGACACACGCCTCGTTCCCCTGAAAGCTAAAAACACCCTGAATCCTTTGTTCAGGCTGAAGTGTTTTGAGAATCATCTCCCTTTCTCCTTTACTTGTTACAAGTAATAAAATTTTGTTGTGCTTAAAAGCACATGACTGACTCTAAGTTATTCTTAACTAGAGAATAGGCCACAAACCCATTTGCTAACAGTTGTTGTTAAGTGCCATCGAGTGGACTCCGACCCATAGAGACCCTGTATAGGGTTTCTGAAGAGCAGCTGGTGAACTTGAATCACCAACCTTGCATTTCAAGTGGCTTTGCAGTCTGGCACATTAACACACAGCACCACACCAGGACTTCTTAGTGTCATTGGGAGTAGGTAGATATTAAAGAAATTCTTCTAGTTACAGGTAATAATTAGAAATTCCAATACATAATTTAAACATTTAAGTTAAATTATTTAGAAGAAATGGAGAAAACACATGACAAATACACACAACTGATCTTATTACATCAAGGACTTCCAAATTCAAAGTAAACAAAATGTGACTCTGTAATTCTGTTACTTCACTGAAACATACAGAAAAAAACATTTACATTTTAGTTAACAATATCCTATACGATGGTATCTGTGTCCTGACACATTTTTATTATATACCAGAAGCTCAGTGTCTACCACCATTTTCAAGAACAACCCTAAAATTACTTTTATGTTCCTTGGATCCTGTGGGCTAGGAAAGATTTTGGAATAGACTAAATCCCAGACTAGTCTGCATAGTAGAATTACCTAGGGAACGTAAAAATACATTGATGCTCATGTCTCAATCCCAGAAACTAGCATTTGTGTTAGGGTGAGCCTAGGGGTTGGATTTTTTTTTTTTTAAGCCTAGGTGACTCTAACCTCAAGGTAGGCGGTTCAAACCCACCAGCTAGTCTCAGAAACCCTATACAGGGTCACTATGAGTCTGAACCAACTGAACGGCACAAAGCAAAAGCAACAAGGTGACTCTAACATACAGATGAATTTAGGAATCACTGTAATAAACTATGCAAACCAGCTTAGGCTAATTATGACCCAAAATTCAGATCAACTCAGCTACAAATCAGCATTTTGCAACGAATAACCTCAGTCTTGGACGCCTGGTGTGAGCTGTAGGATAAGCACTGGACTGCAAGCTCAAGGTTGGCAGTTCAAACTCATCAGCTGCTCCTCGGAAACCCTATACAAGGTCACTGAGAGTCAGAACAAACTTGTTGGCACTTAGCAACAACCCTAATCTTCCTTGACTGGGGGTTAAAAAAACCTTTAGCAAACATGCCTCCTTCCTTTTAGAGCAACTTTCTATGCAAGGGCTGCTAAGATATGACTAGACTGGATCTTTGGCAAGTTTAGCCCTAAGCAAATCTGAGAAACAAGGGAAATCTTATCATATAACCTAGTCCCCTTCCTTAGCAGGTACTTTGTCCTTTTGACACTCTATGTCTTTAAATCTGCTACCCTGAATTCCTACTCTGATGGCACCATTACCTTACTTTTAGCCCCTCTGAGTCCTGGTGTGACGCTGTGGGTTAATGCACCAGACTGCAAAGCTGTTTGAACTGCAAGGTTGGCAGTTCAATCGCACCAGCTGCTCTTCCGAAACCCTATACAGGGTTGCTATGGGTCGGAATCGACTCAACGGCACTTAACAACAACAACAATCAGTCTCCTCTGCAGCCCTCTACTAACAATTACTTTCAAGTATTTTTAATATGATTCACAGTATAAAGTACATTTATGAGATGCAGTTATATATGTAGATAACTGAAACAATTTCACAAAACAATAGCCTTATGAATGTGCAAAGTGATCTACTGTCTGAAATTCTATTCTAAGCTATTTCTTTTTTAAACAAACTACTAGTAGGAACCTACTAAGTTAATTTAATAACTTGCCAATAGGAACAACTTAGTGTCTATTTCTGCTTTATATCCTTTATCCTCCCCCATATCCCTCAATGAAATACAGTCTTCATACGTTGATATTGGAGTCCTTGTAGGATGCTGCAGTTTAGTGAACTGGACTGCAAAGTCATTTGAACTGCAAGGTTGGCAGTTCAAGCTCACCAACCACTCCTCAGAAACCCTATACAGGGTTGCTATGGGTCAAAACCAACACAATGGCCCTTAATAACAACAATTTTGGTATAATTATAGCTTCTACTCCATTATACAATTTTTCACCTCTTACCATTTTTTTTAAAAAAGTATAAATATGTTTTTTAAATTATATGCTTCCTCAGATTTGGGGGGGAAATAGGGATGGTGTGGTACAAATAAAGGATAAGTAAAAACATTGGAACACTGTACCTCCTCATGTATTAACTCACCTATTTTAAGCCAAGTTAACTAAAAATCAATGTGCAGGTAATTTCCAACTTCACCAACAGGTAATACCAGCATTTAGTAGGAGAAAAATGTTGTTTTGTTGTTAAATCCTTCGAGTAATCTCTGACTCATTGTCATGGTCACGATGTGCCCTGGAGTCAGTTCTGACTCATAGTGACCCTGTACAGGGTTTCCAAGGCTGTAAAACTTTACAGGAGTAGAAACCCTCATCTTTCTCCCACGGAACACCTGGTAGTTTCAAACTGCTGACCTTGAGGTTCGCAGCTCAGTTCATAGCCACTACACTACCAGAGCGCCTTAATCTTTGACTCATAGCTACCCTGATGCTGCAAAACTCTACAGGAGAAGAAAGATTCATTTTCACCTACAGAGTAGCTGGTGAGCTCCAACTGCCAACCTTGTAGTTATAAGTCCAGTGCTTATCCTACAGAGTCACAGCTAAATAAACCCTGAATGGTTTCCCAGAGGCTGTCCTCTTTTTCATGGGTGATTTTTTCCCAGTTCTTTTTAAAGTATTAACAATACAGATTGGGTATTTCTCCTAGGAGTATACGAAATGGTAGAGCTTCTTCTGTAACTAATACAAGTCACCCAGGCAGTGCAGCACACAACGAGGAACTGCCTAAGGACTCAAGTGACTCGATTTCATGGTGAGCACAAACTCAATAGAAAATGTTTCTCGCTACTTCCTTCCTAAATTCTCTTTAAGTCAAACTTAATAGACATGGATTCTTGCTCTCCTATAACTGGAAGCCTATAATCATGGACAGGCTACCACGTGACAGTGAGAAAACATGCAAGAATGACCATGTAGGAGTTAAAAATTATGCTCTTGAGAGAATGGTCACAAATACACATGATCTCATATATTTGCCATATTATGAGAACATATGAACAGTATTTTTGGTGCTCCTGAACATGTTGCTGTTGTTGTTAAGTACCATGGAGTAGGTTCCGACTCATAGCGACCCTGCACAGGGTTTCCGAGGCAGTTTCAAACTGTTCACCTTGCAGTTGGCAGCCGGACTCGTAACCACTATGCTACCAGAGCTCCTTCCTGAACATGTAAAAAAGTATAATTCAGTAAAACAAGCTCAGAGTTTTTAACTTACGTTTTTTTCTGTCCTGGGCTCAAACCCCTAATTTCAGGTGAAATTAATGGTGTAATTTTCTTCTCTGTTGTTTTAGTAAACTTGATGTATTTCTTGCTGTAAATATTTCTTGATGACAAGTCAGATGCAAAAGAATGAGAACTAGAATCCACTGAGTCAATATTTTCTTCTGTCTGGGAAACAATCAAGAACCACAATCAGTCAAGCTAAGCTCTCTTTGTATATGTATATATCAGATATGACATCCTGGATCAGACTAACAGTTCATTTTATCTTCATGCTGTCTCCTAGTAGTGATATCAAAAAGAACTTTGTTGAAAAGCATTGTATTCATGAATGAATATATATATATATACTAAAGACCAGCTCTGGTAGCATAGTGGTTACAAATTGGGCTGCAAACCACAAGGTCAGCAGTTCGAAACTACCAGCTGCTCCGCAGGAGAAAGATGAGGCATTCTACTCCCATAAAGATTAACAGCCTCGGAAACCCTGTGCTGGGTTGCTATGAGCCAGAACCGACTCAACGGCACATAACAACAACAAAGACCTCCAACTTTCTTTAGTACATTATCCAGCTAGAAACAGAGTAACTAACACCCATGAGTTGTGCAAAATGCAGTATATTATCTTTTTGTTGGACCTCCACATCACTAATTGCATTATCAACAACCTCAAGTGTAAGCTTAAATTCTTTGGTCTCTGGAAAATTCATCTCACCTCCTAGTCCAAGAAATACACTCATCATGTGCACAGTTCTCTTGGTATTACGTGGCTTGCTAAAATAATATACTTCAATATATGTCCACTAAATGAGGTAAAAAATGGCCTCAGTTTTTAGTAAGTCCCTTATGGCTTCATTACTCTATGAAATTGCTCACTGATTATGGATGTGACCTAATGTAAAATTCATAAGAAAAACAAAAGAATCTTTAGAAGCTGTTTTGAAGGAATACCTGACAGAACAATTTTAGTTTAGTTTCCATCTTTATGTAAAGTCTTCCCTTGAGGACTCAAAGACCTTGATGAACAAGTGTGACTGAACAGCAGCACGAAAGAATTTCCTACCAAGAAAAAGAAAAAATGATATGTCTGTTAAAAGACACTTAAATTAGTCATTTACCTACCTGAAGTTATCACTTCAATATAGCACTCACTTGTGACATATCTAAAAGATATTCACCAACACAGATATGTGGACAAAAGCTAGAAACAGTATTTGCTGTTGTGTTTGTGAAGTGCTGTTGAGTTGGTTCCGATTCATAACATCCCTGTACAGCATTTCCGAGGAGCGACTGGTGGGTTTGAACCATCAACCTTGCTGGTCAAACCTATCTTGAAGCCCAGTGTTTATCCTACAGCATCACGCCAGAAAAGGTTGTTGTTGTTGTTTTTAAGTGCCGTCGAGTTGGTTCTGAACCTCCAACTTTTCAAACTGACCTTGCAGTCCAGCACATTATCCTGCAGCGCTTTTGTTGTAGTTGCTGTTGTTACACCTATGCACAACAGAACGAAACACTGCCAGGTCCTGGGAAAACCTCACAATTGTTGCCACACTTGAGCCCCTTAATGCTGTCACTTGGCCAATCCATCTTGCTGGGGGTCTTCTTTTTCTCTGACCCTCCACCTTACCAAACATGATATCCTTCTTCAGCAACTGGTCCCTCCTGACAATATGTCTGAAGTATGAGAGATGAAGTTTGGCCATCCTGGCCTCCAAGGAGCACTCTGGCTGCACTTCTTCCAACACAGATCTGTTTGGCAGCCCATGGCACTTTCAGTGTTCTCCAACACCATAACTCAAAGGTTATGGTGTTGGAGGAAAATATTCTTCTACAGACTTCCTTATTCACTGTCCAGCTTTCACATGCATATGAGGTTATTGAAAACATGCTGTTAACAGGTCATAATTTGGAGTCCTGGTGTGGTGCTTTAAGGTAAACGCTGGACCACAAGATTGGTTTGAACCACAAGTTTGGAGACTGAAACCCACCAGTCACTTCTCGGAAACCCTATACAGGGTTGCTATGAGTCAGAACCAACTAGAAAGCACTTAACAACAACAAAGGTCATAATTCAAAGGACCTCACCAAGTTCTTCCACCTTACCTTTCATGGTATAGGAAGAAGCTAAGATACACAACCCCAAATGATATGGAAAGCAGAGAAATCCAAAAACATTTATTTTTTCTTAAAAAGCTTGGAAAATAGTACTAAAACAGTAGTAATAGCTAATGTTCCTGAATGGTAAAGAATGATGTTTGGTAAAATGGAGGGGCAGCAAAAAAGAGGAAGACCTTCAGCAAGATGACTTGACATTGTGGCAGCCAACAATGGGCTCAAACATAACAACAATTGTGAGGACAGCACCTAACAACAATAACTGTGTACTAGACATTATTACAAAATTGTATCATTTTAAAAACTATAATTATTCTCACTCTAGATAAGGAAAATAAAGAGTTGAAGAGATGAATTTGTCCAAGATAACACACAGAATTTTAATTCAGGTAGTCTAACTTCAGAGTTTACAGTTTATAAGCCGTCAACACTTTACTCGTACAATATTGTATCCCTTGTCGAATAACAATATAACTGCAAACAGAAGGATGTTTTAGCCATACAATAGTTTCATTTAACTAGCTAAAAATGTCTGCTTTGAGTATTAAACTCTTTTAGGAACTATCTATATGAGATCAAACTGTCAACAGTAACTTGAAAGATCAGAAAGGAACTTTAGAGAGCAGTGAGTTTATGTTAATGGAGGAGGAATAATTCAGAAAAGGAGGGTGAGAATGGTTGGACAATACAACGATTGTATTCAATGTCACTAAATTGGTCCATGTAGAAACTGTTGAACTGGTGTATGTTTTGTTCGTTATTCTAAATAACAACATAGACATTTTAAAATAATAGTCTACTACAATTAAATACAGTTTATTGTATTTTAAAAGATGTTTTATTGTTCTTAGGTGGCATCAAGTAGGTTCTGACTCACAACAGAACGAAACACTGCCCGGTCCTTTGCCATCCTCACAATTGTTTTTTTTGTTTTTAGCTCATTGTTTCTACCATGTGTCAATTCATCTCATTGAAGGCCTTCCACTTTTTCACTGACCCCTCACTTTTCCAAGCATGATGTCCTTCTCCAGGGACTGATCACTCCTGATATGTTAAAACTATGAGAGATGAAGTATCACAATCCACATTTCTAAGAAGCATTCTGACTGTACTTCTTGCAAGACAAATTTGTTTTTTCTCTGGCAGTCCATGGCACTTACAATATTCTTCACTAACACGATAATTCAAATGCATCGATTCTTCTAGTCTTCGTTATTTATTGTCCAACTTTCACACGCATAAGAGATGACTGAAAATGCTATAACTTGGGTCAGGGGCACCTTAGTCCTCAAACTGACATCTTGGTGAAACACCTTAAAGAGGTCTTTTGCAGCAGATTTGCCTGATGCAATATGTCCTTTGATTTCTTGATTGTTGTTTCCATGAACACTGATTGTGGATCCAAGCAAAATGAAGTCTTTGACAGCTTCATTTTTTTTTTTTTTCCATTTATCGTGCTATTTATTTGTCCAGTTGTGAAGATTTTTTTTTGCTTTACATTGAGGTACAATCTATACAGTATAGAAGGCTATAGTCTTTGATCTTCATCAGTATTTCAAGTCCTCTTCCAACTAGCAAAGCTGTGTCATCTGCATATCACAGTTTGCTAATGAGTCCTCCTCCAATTCTGATGCCACTTTCTTCTTATAAACTAGTTTCTCCGATGATCTGTTTAGCCTACAGATTGAGTAAGTATGGTGAAAGGATACAACCCTGACCCACATCTTTTCTAATTTTAAACCATTCTGTATTATTTATTATATTTAAAAAGACATTTTAGCCTACTTTTAATCCAAAGAATTTTTGCATTGTGCAAATGCGATAATCAACTATTTTAGAAATTGGCAAAAATTTGAGATTTAAAAATTTTATTTTATCTAAGCTACATTTTGGTAGCGTAGTGGTTACGAATCAGGCTGTGAACCGCAAGGTCAGCAGTTTGAAACTACCAGCTGCTCTACGGGAGAAAGATGAGGCTTTCTGCTCCTGTAAAGATTTACAGCCTCAGAAACCCTGTTCAGGGTTGCTATGGGTCGGAACTGACTCGACGGCACTTAACAACAACAAGCTACATTTTATGAGCTGATTATTACATTGCTTACTAGACACTGCTAGTTGCAATCATCAGCATCCCTTTCACCTTGTAAAGCTTAAGTATTAATATTCTAATGGAAGAATGACACTTTTTAAAAATTTGTATTTATTTCTGAAACATGTTGTTACAATTATTGTTCTTATATGTCCAATGCTCCCAGAATTCAAAGTATATTAAAGATACAATGAAACCACATTAATACCAATCACAGAAGACATTAGAAATCTGTACCGGTTTCCTCAGCAATTTACTCTATCTACTCTAACCAGTTTAGTCTTTACCTCTAAACTACTTGGCAATCGATGAACCATTTTTGCTATTCAAATAGCACAAACCATTTGCCTTGTTTTGTGTGTGTGTGTTTTTTAAATAATTCAGAGATTTGCATTGTATTTTTAAGTAGCTCTGGTAGTGAGTGGTTACAAGTTGGACTGCTAATCTCACAGTCAGCAGTTCAAAACTACCAGGTGTTCCACGGGAGAAAGATGAGGCTTTCTACTCCCATAAAGATTTACAGCCTCAGAAATCCTACGCAGGGTCACTATGAGTTGGAACCGACTCCACGGCAAACCAGCACTTCCATCACCAACATGTGAACTCTTGTCTCAACTACGGCCTAAAATTCTAAAGAACTGGGACTTATGATTCCTTGAAATATTCCTCACAGTACCTTGATGTTGTTGGGTGCCATCGAATTGGTTTCAATTCACAGTAACCTTATGCTCAACAGAAGGAAACCCCACTGGGTCCTGCACCAGCCTCACAATCATTGTTAAGCTTAACCCACTGCTGCTGCCACTGTGCCAATCTATCTCATTGTGGGGTCTTGGTCTTTTACACTGACCCTCCACTTTACCAAGCATGATGTCCTTCCCCAGGAATTGGTCCTTCCTGATAAAATGTTCCAAATATGAGAGACAAAGTCTCACCATCCTAGCTTCTAAGGAACATGCTGACCATACTTCTTCCAAAACAGATGTTTGCTCTTCTAGCAGGTCATGATATTTTTAATATTCTCCTCCAACACCATAATGCAAATACATCAATTCTTCTACAATCCTCCTTATTTACTGTCCAACTTTCACATGCATATGAAGATATTGAAAATACTATGGCTTGAATTAGGTGCACCTTACTCCTTAAACTGATATCTTTGTTCTTCAACACTTTAAAGAGGTCTTGTGCAGTATATCCACCTAATGCAACACATCATTTGATTTCTTTACTGCTGCTTCCTTAAGTGTTGATAGTGGATCCAAGAATAATGAAGTCTTTGACAACTTTTGGTCCAGTAGTGAGTTTTTTTTGTTTTTGTTTTTTAACATTGAGTTGCAACCCATACTGAAGGCTGTGGTCTTTGATGACCTTCACTTAGTATTTTAAGTCCTCTTCACTTTTAGCAAGCAAGGTTGTATCATATAATCCAGCTTCTCAAATTATTTACTCAGCATACAGATTTAATAAATATGGTGAAATAATACAACCCTGGCACACACCTTTTCTAATTTTAAACGATATAGTGTCCCCTTCTTCTTTGTCATACTATAGTGACTTCTGTGTTGCTGTGTGAAGCTATGCCACCAGTATTTTAAATTACAGCAGGATACAATCATAGTGAACAGGTTTCCAGACGAAAACAGACTAGGAAGAAGGAGAGGCGGACTACTTCTGAATGTTGAGCCACTGAAAACCTTGTGAACAGTAGTGGAACACTGTCAGCACCAAAACATGGAAGATCGAAACATGATAAATAGCACCAGAATATTGTCAA